CCCCAAAACCCCAAAACCCCAAAACCCCAAAACCCCAAAACCCCAAAACCCCTTGACTAAATTATTTTTTTGAATTAATAGAATAAAAATTATTTTCATATAAATTCAAGAGATGGACGATATACAGCAGATTATTGAAAGACCTGGACGACATTCTAATCAATCAAGGTAGGTTATTAGTCCCCATTAATATTTTCGTAGATTTTGCTAAATATAAAAATTTTATTGAGCTTAATTGATATAGAGCACTTTCAAACTCCAGAATTCATTTTAATGATGCCTTTAAAGTCAATATCCCTATTAACAACATTACAGGAGTAGAAGACAGCTTGGCGCAGCCAAGCAAGGCTACTAACTTCTCTACCAATATATCTCAAGAAGGAGGAACTCATAGACTGCCAAAAATATAGCTAAAAAGGCCAAAAATAACCATCTAAGGATAAATTCTTTAGTAGGAGAGTCTACTATGAACAAACTCAATTCGAGTAATATAAGCCACCATTCAAATTCTACCAGACATGCAAAGACTAGTGTGTCACCATACCGGCATAATATGAGTCGGATGAAAATGAAATAAGAATCGAATGAATCTTTCTTCTTACGGTAAAGCCCTTGCTCCCATCAGGGTGCAGGACAGCGGGTCTCCACCCCCACTAAACTCCAGCATGGATGCTGGGAAAGCTGATACAGGGATGGTGAAGATCATCGAGACTTGGATCAATGAGACTCTGACTGATGCAGAGCACATGGATATCCCAGGAGTTTTGATAAAGCCAGAACATAAGAATCCTATCAGTAGGTATGGCATTGATAAGCTTGCGCTTACCAACGCTGGCATACCTGCTGATATGGTTGATAGGATCTTCAGAGGTTTGTTTGTCTACTCTACTGGTTTTTATGAGATCATGAATAAAGCACTGTGTCATACCAAAGGCAAATATCGTGTGGTGACTAGTCTGTGGAAGGTCTATGGTATCCTACTAGAATATTGTTGAGCAAGTGACTACCGAATGCTCATCAACGAGATTTCCAAACAGCACATAGAAGACCTACAAAAGGTGGAAGAAAAGTACCAAGACATAATCTCCGTTGGTGCAGCAGACAAAAAGATTCTGACCGAAAACATAGATACTCTCCAAAAGTATGTCACTAAGCTCGAGCGTGATCTCCAAAGTGAGAAATCAACTAGACAAAAACTTGAGGAAGAGTTTAATCAAAACACCAAAAATCATGAAGAAGAGGTCCAGCTTCGGCTAAAATTTGAATCAAAGCTTAACAACATGCATTCGATTCATCGGGATGTAGAAACGAAATATAGGCGGTCCCTAGAAGAAATCCAGGAACTTACAAATGACAAAGAGATATACCAGAAACGTGCGAAGGTGTTCTAATTTTCTAACTCTCTAGAAATTTCAAAGCGACTATTTAGACACCAAAAGAATCAAGGAAGAAAAAGAGGCTGAAATTGAGTTCAAAAATGAGAAGATTGGTAAGAATCCCCCTTGATAGCATAGAACTACTGAAGAAGGAAAACAAGATCATGAAGGAGCAGATCAAGAACCTTGAAGAGAAGATCGTCTCACTCCAGAAGAACGTTGAGTTCAAGCTAAACATTGAGTACATCCAAAGCGAAGCGAACAAACTTGACTTCAGCAAGTACGAGCCAGAGAAGAAGGAGAATATTTATGAAAACAAGTTCAACCAATTGGAGGAGAGGTATGCCAAGACGGTCGAAGAACTCCAGAAGTACAAACGTGAAAGTCTGGGCTACGAAGAAATCATCAGAGAGAAGGAAGAGCGATTCGCTCGAATAAAATCCTCATTGGACGAACTTCAGAATAACTATAGAATTCTTGACAAACAGTATTCCATCCTCAAGCTAGACCATGAACGTCTGACTGAAGTATCCACCGATCAAAGAGCTGAGCTGGATTCTACAATTGAGAAGCTAAAGATCACTAACAAAGTGAGAAACGAGAACGAGATCAAACTCTCTGAGAGTCGTGACAGAGAGAAAGAAATCAAGAACTTCCTAAATGAAAAGGAAGAACGCCTACAGAAGTACCTAGCTGAGATTCAAAAGTTGGAAAAATAATGTCTTCACCATTCGAAAGGAAAAGGAAACAATCGAGAGTGAGAAAGCTAGCGAGGGAAAACATTTCGAGATCCAGAAGCGTCAATATATTGAGAAAATTACCAACCTGAACGAAATAATCACTAGTGAGAGGGAATCTCGTGAGAAATGGGTCGAAAGATTCAATAAGGAACAAAATTCGCATAATGAGAGCAAGAATGAGAACTTAAAGTGTCGCAATCAAATCAAAGATCTTGAAGTCGAAATCCAGAATATACACATTAAAAATGAGAGCGAAGAGAGATTAAAGAAGCAATTTGAAGAAAGCAATAATTCACTACACAAGAAATGTTCTGACATAGTTGCAGCAAACGAAAATGCTGAAAGAGAAGTGAATACCATGAAGATCTTACTCAAGAACATGGAGGAAGCTAAGCTCAGTGACCTCAAGAAGTACAAAAACGATCTTTTCAAAATTGAAACTCTGAAGGAAAATATGAGAATGGAAGTTGAAGACATGCATTCGCGATCAGCCGAAGTCTATCGAATCTACAGAGAGCTGCTTGAGAAATATGAAAAATTGATGAAGGAGAATCAAGACAATAAGCAAGAAATTCAGAAATCTATCGATGCCCACAAGGAGATTGAGAAGGAAAAAGACACCATCCTACAAGATCTGGAATGAACTCAATGCATCCTTGATGAATACTCTGAACTTTATGATATGGTCAAAAAGCAGGAAGTCGATTCTGAGAAGCAAAAACTTGAGATGAACAAGCACATCCGCAAGCTTGAAAGAGATTCTAAGAAGAAAGACCTTCGATTGAAAGAAATGAATGATCTGAAGGAAAAGCTACGGATTAATGAGCACAAACTTGAAGAGTTCAAGGATCTTAATAACAAGATATTCTCTGACATTGGATGCCAGACAACCTTCGAAAAGAAACAGCAGGATGATGCTCATGTTCAAACTGACATGAATCTAACAAAGTTGGCTAATTTAGAGAAGAGATTGCTAAAAGCCAAGATAGATGCTTCCAAGTTTCAGAAAATCATAAAGAACAGGACCATGATTGAGAAGAGCTCAACGAAATCACCTGGTAGATCTAATATTTCACCAGAGAGATCCCAGATGGAAGAAAGTGCCTTTGACAATAAAGAAGATTTTGGAGAAAATAATGAGGAAATCGAACTAGAAAAAGGTGTGACTGATTATGAAGGCAGTCCGAAAAAGGCTGAGCGCACTGAGAGAACTCAGGATAACCAATCCTTAACTCAGAAAATCGAGACCCCTAAAAGCTCAGTCAAGAAGCAAGAAGTGCCTATTACGAGTAACTTTGCTAAAGAGATGCCCCAGAAAAAGAAATCTCAAGAGAAGAAGCTTACTAGAGAGGAAGAGTTTATTAAAAAGAAGAGATTGGTGAAGAAGCAGAATAGAGCTCCAAATGCGTATGAATCATTGGACCAGTACCAGAAAAGATACACTAAAGAAGTTGTGGATAGATCTGTCTCTACGCCTAATAAAATGCAAGCAGAACCAATAGAAGAGACCAAGAAGGAAGGGAATAATAGTTTAGATAATAATGCGAAGGAAGAAATTAAGGAGAGTCTGAAGTCCCTTGAAGATCAGACCAGGAATTTGAAAGATAAAAGGAAGGAGAATTCTCAACCAAGACAAACGATTGAGCTCAATCTTGACAAGGGCATGAAAGAAATCTTGGAAAATACTGAGAGTAATGTGATTAAAGATGGTGGAAATTACTCAAACTCTAATCTTCCGGACTATCACGAGGATTCAACTATAAAGGAAAGAGATTTTGAGAATAAATCGAATCGCTTAATAGGTATATATTCCCTTATAATCATAGAAGAATCAGGTTCTGTAGGTGCTATGGACCATGAAATAACCAGGTATAATCATCGAAGAGTAATGTCAAGAGAGGGTTCCCCAGATGACATCGGTCAAATCCTTCGAAATAACTACCCTATCCATCGTAGAGAAATTCAGAGGGAAGGTTCTTCATCCCAGAGCCGTTTCTACCAAGGCAAGGGGAACATTCAAATCAAGGGTAAATCCACGATCAAAAACTTAATAAGAGTGGCTGCCACAAGAAAATAATTTAACTTCCCTTTAAGCCTCTCAAGTTGGGGTTTTGGGGTTTTGGGGTTTTGGGGTTTTGGGG